GGTTCATCGCGCTTTTGACTTCATGTAAGCTGGACGAGATTCAATATATAGTAACCCAAAAGTCTCCATGTTATAAAAGAAATGGTAAACGTGCAGTGTGCAACTATCGAGTTATGGATGCACTTGGGAGCTATCCTAAGCACTCAAGAAGCTAGAGTAGCACTCGGCTATCGCCTCGTGCGACCCTTACGCTTTTTTCGTGCTTAGCAACCTCCCGCGTGCATCCATAACTCGATAGTTGCACGCTGCACGCTTACCATTTCTTCATTGAAATTAAGCAAAACAAGCATAGAACTATCTCATTTCTTTCTCTACCTAGCATTGACCGATAACAGATTACTGTCATGCCAAACGTAACACCGGCAACTTCATCCAATAAGGAGACGACTAACTATGCTCGCTTGTGTCGTCTCCTAGTTGATGTTGGTACCCAGGCCCTTAGGGACACACTTGATGCCATTCACGCACCAACAAATCTTCACGCAGTTTTGGCGGCAAATAAGCCGACTTTACAGGGTCTCAGATCAAGAAGAATTATCAATGCTACGCAATGGGGCAAGCTCTTCCCTGTCATTCCTTCTGCAGTGTCTTCGAAAACCTTTGACACTACCCTTACAATGGTTCTCTTAAGAAACTTGTGCGGTTTGCCTTCTCCAATAACCGGATGGGACACACTTCCCGCTGCAACGGACATGAGTCGTGAGGCGGATATTGCTCGTATTAAGTACTTTAGAAACACCGTGTGCGCGCATGCCGAACAAGCCTCGGTTGATGACACAACGTTCAACGCGTACTGGCAAGACATCCGGGACACTCTGGTGAGACTGGGAGGTGTTAGGTACAGGACGGCTATTGACAATTTGGAAACTGATTGCATGGACCCCGAAATTGAAGATCACTGCAAGCAACTTCTCAGTGAATGGAAAAAGGACGAGGATAACATTAAAGATGAGCTGAAAGAAATCGGAACCGAGATCAGAGATGTCAAGAAAATACTTCATGATTTAAAAGCAGCAAGTATGACTAACAGAAAGGAATCAAGTGATGGAGGTGAGTTAAGATATTTTTGTTAGTAGCTCATCAACTCGATATACACTTATACTTCAGACACAGGGGTTGAGTGGGGCCTCTCATTAATGTAAGCTATACACGTATTTTTACCATGCCAAAGAAAATATAGCCAATCAGAATACGAGAAGCCGTTGTTTATTCGACGTTATAACACTCAACCTTCCCATCGCGTGCCACGCGTATGTCCCATTGATTTTGCTGGCCATTGAATTTTTTATGGCATGATATAAAATAGTCACGCAAATCTGTCTCGTGATATACTATTTATCATTTGTAATTTTTACAATTCTCCCACGCTCATTAGCTAATTTTCATTGTTAATAAGCGGACAGACACCAGGGGGAGTTAATTTAACTCTACTTTAAGAGTTATTTTAACTGCTTCAACTCCTTGAAAATTGGTGTGTATACCTTGACGACAGGTTTTTTATGCGTCTGTCCTATTATTAATAATAAATTTCGTCATAACATTGTCAAAGTAGTCTATAATAATAATAATGACTTAATTATCGTGTCAATTACATCTAGCAGTGGAGAATCCCCAATGCTAATAGGGGACACCTAACTAGAACTATCTAAAAATAATATACAGAAAAGCTATATAAGAGAAATTAAAATTATGAGTTTATTTATTTATTTATTTATTTATTTTATTTATTTAACTTTATTTATACAGGGGTAAAACATCAGGACTTAAAGTAAATACTAAAATTGCATTAATTACATTGTCAAGATACTAAATCTACTACTAATTAAATCTAATAACAACAAAAATAAAAGCAATAACGAAGTGCCTGCTTTCCATGAATGCCGTGTGATTAACTAACTTATTTATTTTGAAAAAGGAAACACCTACAGCCGGATTTAAAACTAGCAAGAGTTTGTGCTTGCCGCAGATTGGTAGGTAAGCTGTTCCACAGCACCGCACCACTATAGCTAAAACTGTTTTTTAAAAAATTGGTGCGGGGAAATGGAACAGCTAGTTTGCCCTCACAATTCCTAAGAGAATAGGTAGATATTGCACTCCAATTAGTAAACATTAATTTCAGATAATCAGGGGCGAGACCATTAAGAGATTTGTAGACCATAGTGGCTGTTTTTAGTTCTCGTTGAAGATTAAGTTTTTGCCAGCCAAGTCTAACAAAGAGATCATCCGCATTGGCATCATATGAAAAAGAGGTCAAAATACGCGCAGCGCGATTCTGTAGCTTTTGCAGTTTAATGGAAAGAGATTTATTGCAATTACCCCATACGACGCTACAGTAATCGAAATAAGGTTGAACTAAAGCATTATAGATGCATAGGAACGATTCAAACGGAACAAAAGACCTGCTTCTCTTCAAGATGCCTATGCAGGAGGCAATTTTTTTGGAAATATGTTCGATATGTACGTTCCAAGTTAAGTTTTCATCTATATATACTCCAAGAGATTTCGTAAATTCTACTTGTTTAATAGAATTACAGTCGATAGTAAAAGACGGGAGTCTATTAAAAGTATTTAACCTTTGCCTTGAACCAATCAACATAAACTCAGTCTTTGACTTATTAAGAGTGAGTTTATTTGTCGTTAACTATTCAGTAATTTTAGTTAGATCATCGTTCATATTTTCCTCTAGATGCGCAACATCGTTACTGGAAAAGGTCAAATGAGTATCATCCGCATACAATCTGGGATGTGAGTTAACAAGACAGTTCGGTAGATCATTTATATAGAGTATAAAGAGGAGAGATCCAAGGATTGAACCTTGAGGAATACCGCAAGTTAAAGGTTGGCTATTCGAGAGAGAGCCATTTACAAAACATTTCTGTGTACGATTATCCAAGTAGGATTTAAACCAGTTAGACGAGTTTCTTCCGACACCATAGGCTTTTAATTTAGATAGCAATATAGAGTGATCGACGGTGTCAAAAGCTCTCTTCAGATCTAGAAAAATTACTTGCGTTAACATTGCCTTTATCGATATTTAAAGCCCAATTATCAGTGGCTTCGAGTAAGGCAGTAACAGTGGAGTGAAGTGAACGAAACCCTGACTGATTACAGGAAATTAGATTATTTTCAGTTGAATATTCGTAAAATCGATTGTATACGATTCTCTCAAAGACCCTAGCCACAACAGGAATTACAGAAATAGGGCTGTAGTTATTTAAATGGGAACGTTCTCCCTGTTTAATTCGTGATATTCGTGATAGAACGCTAGTAGATTTATACTAAAACTCGATAGAAACGCAGAACTAGCACGAGCTGTTGACGTAATAATATAAAAGTGATTTTCCTTTCGATTCTCTTTCTCGCAGTAGTTTTAAAACACTGAAATTGTGAGCCGGGTTCATGTCCGTGTTCGATTGGCTCGAGTCACTGCGTTGTGTTCTTAGGTAAGAAACTTTACTCTCACAGTGCCTCTCCGTATCCATATGTATATATATGTACGGGAAGGGGGGGTTGGAGGGGGGGAGGTTAACCCTCCGTGCAGGACTAGGATTCTATTCGGGGGGAAAGAGCAGAAATACACCTACTCGCTTCATGCTACCGAACACTGGATAAGCTCAAGCGGTATGGACCACTTAGCCAGACACAGACTTAACCTACCTTATCCAACAAATATTTAATATAATACTAGATAAAAATGCTCTTTTTTACACTGTTTTTCGTATGTTTGTAACAGTTCAGTATGCATTTATAACTATTGACAAATCGTTGGAGCGTTCACCCCTTTGTCTGTAACTATGGACAGATGGGATGTGCGTGTTAAAACTCACTGTTCTGGGTTTATGCCTGCAAAGTAATTTCTTTACTTCTCTCTTTATATCTTCCTTTAGGAAGGCGTAAATGAATGGGTTAATGGCGGAGTTGGTCAACATCAGAAGACGAGAAATGAGAGTTAATTCAAAAGAAACGCTACACTCAAGAGAAAAATACTGACACAAATGACGATAAGCCGACAGCATCCAGCATAACACGAAAAATAACACGACCAGCCCAAAAACCCTTGTTGCTGATCGTTCTTGAGTTACTTGACGAGGACTAACTGCCAGTTGTGGTTGGGATAGGTGCTGGTGTTTAGTCAGGGCGCGGATCTGCCTGGAATGTTTTTGAGAAATGATGAAAATGTGTCCGTATATCAGTAACATCACGACACAAGGCAGCAGATTGAAGGTGATAATTTGCAAAGTTCCGTATATCTCGAATGCACTCTCTCTTTGCGCGGGGGAATTAGTAAATATCCACGCGAATGGGATGAGCGAGAAGAGAATGGGTACGATCCACGCCACAGAAATCCATAGAAAAACGCGCGAGTTTGTCATGTTTTGAAAGTAGGTCAGCGGCTTCACCACGGAGAGGTAGCGGTCAGCGGTCATTGCGCACATGTTGGCGATGGAAACGAACAGCACAAGGTCGAAACTCAGTATCAGGACTGAGAAGTTACAAGTCGTCCAAAGAGCACAAGATGTAGACACGGGAATCAAAAAAAGCCCGACAAATAGGTCCGCCCACGATAGTGAGAGAATAAACCAGTTGGCTGCTTTGTGGAGCCTGTGACAAGTGACTATGACGTAAATGACAGGACCATTTCCCGCCAAAATTGTTAAACCAATCAGACCTCTTAGCACCCAGTACCACACGCCTGCTCTTGATGCGAAACCAGAAGTCGCAGATCCTGATGTTGTTTCGTTAGATGAACTGTTTTCCATTTGGGATTTCTTCAGTGAAGATCGAAAATCTTTGCCTCTTGTGAAAGAAACGCCGTTTACTGTGGAAATTAAGAGACAAATATAGTGAGAGGATCGAAATTGAAAAGATAGAACTAGGTTTCATTAAATTGCCTCAGCAGTAACCACTTGCAGCCGAAAGGTAGTGGTAAGGAAATTGAGTGAGGAGTCGTTATATCGCTTGTCTGACTTCTTGAAAATTAGTTTCCTTAGCTGTCACTTTTTTTGTCATTATTGTTGAGTTACTGTCGGAAAGTGGTCAGAAATTGCTTATGGCTATGATAGATTAATTTCCTGAATACTGGACCGGCTTTTAAAAGTCAAAATTCGGCGGCACTTTCCGGAATTAGAAACATTGCACAGACATCTGGAGGATTTAATTTTAACCCAATTACGAACGAGGTTTATATTTTATATGGAAAGTGTCTTATAAGCAGTTCCTATAGTTTCTGCACGGCACGTGCAGATTTAATTAAGCACGTTCGAACTGAAGAAATCGAAAGAAATCGAACCGGCGTCATATTGTAAAACTGAATTACGAACGATCTCTGTTTTTTTTTTAAGGAGTGTGTCTTATGAGCAGTTCCGGTAATGTCTACATGGCACGTGCACACTATATCTAATTAAGCACGTTCGAAACGAAGAAATCTAAAGAAGTCGAACCGGCGTATATGGTAAAACTGAATTACGAATGATGTCTGTAATTTTTTAAGGAGTGTGTCTTATGAGCAGTTCCCATAATGTCTGCACGGCACGTGCACATTTAATTAAGTACGTTCGAACTGAAGAAATCGAAAGAAATCGAACCAGCGTCATCTTGTAAAACTGAAGATTCTGAAAGATTAGTTTAGAAATGTTACATTCTGCAAAGAATACTCCTTTCCTTAATAAAGAAGTCAAACTCAGATAATTTGTGAACATAGCACTAGGAAATGAAATTTTTCAAGAGTTCCCTGCAGCGAACGAGTGAGTAAACATGTCCTTAACCTGAGTCGCGCTTCCACACACAGAAAACCTGGTTTCAAGCCACCCACTGTAGATCAAAGCTCACGACAGTCTTATAGCATCAGTGATAGATATATATAGAATTCAGCTTACCTATAAAGTGGAGAAACGGTTTAGCCAAGAAGTCGTACATTTGTTCTGCTTAAGTTGCATTTGGCTGACACTTTAAACGCTGTGATAGTTGATCAATATAGCAAAGAGAGCTAGTAAAAGCTCTTTGTAAATGTCCTTATTTAAAAGCGTCGCCTGCTGTTGATGTTTTCTGATTCGTGCTGACAAAGAAATTACTTACCATTCGCAGCGAATAGAAATTCACTTCCTGAGATGTTTAACCAATTTAATCCAAGCCCATATCTCGTAAATGCAATTTTCGACGTAAACAGAGTCGAAAGAAAAAACTGTCTAATTGGCTTTTTGCAATTATCGCAAGAGTTGTAAAATTTATATGCTGGTCACGACTGTTCTATATTGGAAAAAATAATGAAAACGAACAAAAGCTAATGATCTTCTACTCGGTGATATAGATCAAAAAACGTCCTGTATGCATATACTTAAATTCGATTCAATTTATGTAAATGACTTGACAATCAATTAAGAAATCCCTCTTAACTTAACTGTCTGATTCTGAAGAGTCATCGGCATTTCAAAGCAGCATGAGGGCGTCACAGCTCGCAGGTGACAGCAAAAATAAATAGTCAATAAACTGCTGCCAATGATAGTTTCAGCGCAATTGTGCGCATTTAACCATAATTCACAAACGAAATATTATAAAGCAGGATTCACTTTACGAGCTTAGCGGTACTCGTCATAATCTGGGAATAATACCTTAGAGTTTCCACGCCAACTAATTGTCAAGCTCAACCCGAACAAGCAGTACTCGAAAAGCAAATCTGCCGGGCATTTAGCCATCCTTGTCTCGCGCATTTTCAGTCTCATGGCATCTTAAGTGCGAGATGTGAATACGAATTATTACATTCCGTGCGTAGTTTATAGAAGCGTCAATGATGATAAAAATGTCCTAAGTTTCGAGCCACCCACGTGCAGCTGAGGACTTTCGCGTGTTGGTTTCGATGCTACTATTTTTGTTTGGAAAGATCATAGACTAATCGAAAAAGCCCCAGTATCAATATTTCGGATAAAATTCACTTTCTGGTAGCTTATGTATGCTTTTACTTCACAAAATAATTTTTTTCAGGAGCCAATCACCCGAAGCCTCCATCCGCACTGTAAAGTAGGGTCAACCCTTTCCCGTATCATTCTATTTTTCAGTTAGAACTGTAATAACCGCAAGGGTCTCTTGGCTTCCCACAAAATATCTTTTTCCTACAGATAGAAAATGCAAAACAGGGCACAAAAGTGGCATTTCAGTCTTTGTTATAACAAAGAATGGCCTTAGCTCGGGTATAATTGGGTATTGAATAGGGGTCATGTGAAAACTCCCACGAGAGCTGTTACGAAAAATAGAAAGATACGGGAAAGGGTTGACTCACAGGGTTAGTATGGGAGATAGAGGCTCCGGATAATGGGCTCCTGTTTTTTTCCAATGGTGTTTTAAAAATTTACAAACTTTGTCTCCAACTTTTTGGGAAAATCAGCTTAAATGCCGGGTTTCAATTTGTTTCAATTCTAACCTTCAATATCCTCATTAAGAGATAAGAAGTTTTTCAAAATTATCGAAACTTTGAAAGAAAATCTTTATTTGGAAAAACGTGATTGATCAGTCAATAGTGGTGGAAATGTGTCTACATTCATGTGCCACTCAAATATTTTTGTTACAATACTAATCTTTCTAAAATAACCGCACAAAAACGAAAAAATGGCATATATTTTCGTTATTACGTGTGACTCAGCAAACAGATGTGACGTTAGCGCGTCGATTTCTCCCATATTAATTTCGCGATGCGTAAGTAGACCTCGTATCACCTTGATTATCTGCCCTGACGTCGATCAGTCAATTCACCGGTCGAGGCTGCGCATTTTGTAAGTATTATTTAATCAAGCTGTTTCCTGGTGGATTTTACTTGGAGATTTCCCAGTCGCCAATTAGCTTAGTGAAGAAGGGATAAATCGTCAATTAGAAAAAGCCATTTAAAGGATAAAAGCGAAATATAGTATGGGATAACAGGAAAAGCGACAAAAACAATGTCATGGATGTATTTGACGCCGAGAAAGGCCGATGTTGTTTTTTCTCCGGATTATAAATTCTTCCAAGAAGAACATACATTTCAAAAGGTATCAGTTGTCAGTATGTTTGTTGAGGAGAATATTCGCTTGAAAACGAAGGAGCTAGAGAAAATGGAACAGAAACATACGTAAAATCTTTCAACCCTCTGCATTAACCCTCTCTCCTCTAAACTCCATATGAAAGACTGACCGAAGCAGTGGAGAGAACTTGACAATTGTCGCATAGTTAGCTTACGTATCACCTCGTTAGTTAACGATTTTTTTCACATTAGTGATTTGACTCGAACGTGATCTAGTTTTAAAGAGAGATTTATGATAATGCGTCACTCTAGAGAGTGATTATACAGATAAGGGATAACTCCATTTTTTTACACTTTAATGAACAGCATAAAGGGCAGAAGTCAGCTTTCATTGATCTAAACTTTAATTCAGCTGTCNTCATCGTTCATATTTTCCTCTAGATGCGCGACATCGTTACTGGCAAAGGTCAAATGAGTATCATGCACATACATTCTGGGATGTGAGTTAACAAGACAGTTCGGTAGATCATTTATATAGAGTATAAAGAGAAGAGGTCCAAGGAAAGTACCTTGAGGAATACCGCAAGTTAAAGTTTGGCTATTCGAGAGAGAGCCATTCACAAAACATTTCTGCGTACGATTATCCAAGTAGGATTTAAACCAGTTAGACGAGTTGCTTCCGACGCCATAGACTTTTAATTTAGATAGCAATATAGTGTGATCAAAGATGACAGCCACTACATCGATCCATCTAAGATGTTGCCTAGATCTAGCCTCTGTACGTGGGTCTTAAACTGCTTGAGATATATCGCCTCGTGGATCCACAGCTACTTTGACAATGTTATGACGAAATTCATGATCAATAACAGAACAGACGCATCAAAAACTGACGTCAATTTGTTAATTCTTGGTATACACACTAATTTTCAAGCCGTTGAAGCAGTTAAAATAACTCCTAAAGTAGAGTTTAATTAATTCCCCTTAGTGGAGTTAATAAAATTTGAGTTATGCTTAATGGAGCTATTTTTTTGAAGTAAGTTATCTAAACTCTAATTGAGAGCTAAATATAACTCCTACTAAGAGCAAATTTCAAGGCGTTATTTCAACTTTGTATAGTGAGTTAATATAACTCGCTTTTGGAGATACCTTACTTTAACTCTGGCTGGAGACGAATGAGAGGAATTTATGAATATTTTTAATACAAAAAGGGTGCTTTATTATTTTAGTAATTTGGGACCGATTTCCTCTTGAAATTTGTATTTCCAGAATCCAATTCGATCCTGGAATGCATGAGCGCGGCCATAAATCGAAGAGGAAAAAACTAGGATCCGTAACTTACAGTACGGTCACAGAAGACAAGGTTAATAAGATACATTATTATATGGCTGTGTCTCACAAAGACTGGGAACTACCGAATTCACGAATTTGATTGGCTGAAATCGATATTGACCGCGGTCTAGATTTTCCCATCTAGACCGGCATCTAGCTATACCGGTTTCATTTTACGTTGAAAAAATAGCAAACTAAAATACAAAAATGTTCACCACTTTCTTTTATTTTCTTCTCAATCATTTATGGAAGTGCTAAAAAGCTTGATGACAAAAAAAAAGTAAGGAGGACGAGCAAATTTCGGCAGGTTTAAATTGAGTTCATCGCCGTTCGCAAGCAAACTGTCAGCAAACCAGTTACATTAAACAAATTAAAGTTTTCTTCTTTGCCATATAATAAATATCCTATTAACCGAACTATTTCGGTCTGTATGGGAGAATCTTGACCTCGGTCGTGTGTAGAGACCTCACTGCGTTCGGTCTGTACGCACGACCTCGGTCAAGATTCTCCCATACAGACCTCCAGCTCGGTTAATAAGAGCTAAGTCGGACCTCTGTTAAGCGGCCCCTTATTAAGCGGCCAAACTTTATTTGGAGGCCAGCGGCCAAAGTCCCGGAAAAATTGTCAGCTATACACTGTAATAAAAACCTTCATTCAACGGTCACCTCTATTCAGCTCTATTCAGGTGATTTTGTTTTGTTTTATACCTCTATTAAACGGCCAGGAAGATTTGAATTTGGACGTTTGTAGCCAGCTGAAGGTAAAAGAATGACAATATGGAAACGTAATTGTTTCTTTGGCTTTTGTTGACATTATGGACCATCATTGTTCTACTTTTTCTCCACTTTCATTTGTTTGTACTTATATTTGATAAACTGAAAACTGGACCACGCCCAACGTTGTTTTCGGGTGAACCTCTATTAAACGGCCACTTCTATTAAGCGGCCAGCCGTGGTCTCGTCTCCGAGAGCGGTCGCTTAATAGAGGTTGGAGTGTATTGTTATGTCTCTCAGTGTCTGACGGGTTCTATTCACAGGGAACGACTTCTAACGAACGAATAAATAACCGCCCCGTAAGCACTTTTAGTAACTAGTAAGCACTTTTTCTTCAATAAGCATTCTCCTGTAAGCTACCAAAAGTAAATTCGTTCCTCGGGTCCTAAATTGAATCATTGTAGTATGTTTGTGTAATTTAAGCTAAGCTTAATCGAGCTAGAAAATAACTTGGAAACCAAAATACGATGATAGTGGTGGTAATCATCAACAGACGAGGCGTAGAACTATGGCCAAACAACGAGGAAAAGAAACAACAAGTTCGTACAATATCTTGCATACGCATATAAACTTATCCAGGGTCACGGCTGGATTTTAGTTCGCCTGATTTATTCTTCCAATCAAATTCAACCCCGATCGGGCCTCTTGAATTTGTTTCTCGAAGTTTAAATTAATTTACAGAATAACAACAATACTTACATTTGCAAGCTGAGTGACTTCGGATCCATTGGGACCAAATGGAATCCATCGATGACGAAAAACCTACAGCTTTCGAAAATCTAGACTGTTCACAGTCTCTCTACCATTCAACGCGCGCGAAAGAAAAATCGAGCGAGGCCTCACCTTCTACCCCGTCAAGTCTCTCGTTTTGCACTGGCGTTCAGTTCGCTCATGATTCTATTCGTGCGTTCAACGATCGAATAAGAATACGAGAACGGTGGAGGGCTGTGAGCAGTCTATTGAAAGCCTTACTAATTATACTATGGGAAAAAGACACTGATGATATTTTTTGGTCTAGCACTTAGTGCAAGCGAAGAAGGTACAAGTTCCAAACTGGAAGAATTAGTGGAAACCTCTGTCACGTGTAGAGAGAAACATCACGAGAATAAGCCTCTCAATCATTATTGTCAGAACTGCAAAGTTTGCATTTGCGATAAGTGTGGACAAACACGTCATGCAAATCACACCAAGGTGGATATCAAACAAGCCGCCGAAGAACAAAAACTCAAGATGGCGGAGCTTGTGCAGGAAATGAAAATAGAGGTTACTGAACACACGACACAAATGGAGAAAACAACAGAAATGTTGAAGAAAAACAGAGAGAAAATTGCTGCCGCTCGTAACAAAGTGTTAACCACTGTTGAAGAACTCATTCGAGTGTTAAAGGAGCACGAGATCGCTATGGTGACCAAGTTGGATGTTATTGAAAACGAACAGCAAAGAGATTACTCAACACAGTTAGAACACTTTCAGATATCTGCCACGCAACTGAAAATGTTTTTTGAACATTGCCAAAGAATTTTACAAGGAAACAACAGTGTTGAAATACTTGAATCGCAGCAGGGTGTCATGGAAAAGTGCAAAGGTCTCCTAAATGCGAAGAAAATGACCATTTATAAACCATCGCATGTTCAATACAAGGCAAATGAAGAGGATATCCAGAGTGTTAGACGCGCGTCTCTGGGTGAAGTTGTTGTCATTACAACTGATCCTCTACAATCAGTGGCGGAAGGGAAAGGCTTAAAAGAGGCAGAAGCTGGAAGAGAAGCTAGCCTAACAATCACGACAAAGAATTCAGAGGGGCAGCAGTGTTATAACGAAATCGATCAGATTGTTGTTAAAGTTCGCACTCTGTCTGAACAAGACCTCGACACCAACATTGCAGACAACGAAGATGGTAAATATAGCGTCACCTACACACCCGAATGTGACGGACATCATGACGTGGTGATTGAAGTTAATGGTCAACCGCTGACCAGTAGTCCATGGAATGTTCACGTGAAGCCGCATCAATACCATGCCGTACGTTCTTTTGGATCACGTGGTAAAGGACAAGGACAATTTGATGACCCCTGCGACATTGCAATAAGCGACAAAACGGCGAACATTGCAGTTGCTGACGCTTATAATAATAGAGTACAGCTTTTCAACTCAGATGGAATTTATTTGAGAGAGTATGGTCAGAAAGGACTTGACGCCAAGACACTTAATTGTCCCATGTCAGTAGCATTCAGCAAGTCTGGTGACGTCACTATCTGTGATTGTCTTGGTATTTTTTGTTTCGCTGAAAGCGGTCAGTTCATAGAAAAGATCTCCAACAAACATTTGATCAAACCACCATTCATAACCATTACTTGTGATGGCCGCATGCTGTTGTGTGACCGTGGTGACAAAACAGTCAAAGTCTGCTCCCCTGACGGTACAGAATTGCTGAAGTCCTTCAGCTGTCCAGGCTTCGATGAGCCTCCGTTGGTTGCTTTACATCATCAAGACAGGTTTTTTGTCTCCTATGGCTCTGGTCACTGCGTCAAGGTATTTAATAATGAAGGGGAATTTCTATATGATATTGGCACAGAGGGGCCTGGTAAGCTGTGCGAATCTTTTGGACTTGCTGTTGACAAGTTTAACAACTTGTTAGTCTGCGACGGTGAAAATTGTAAAGTTTTTACACTGGAGGGAAAATTTCTGAACTCGATAACAGAGCAGCCCTCCCAACTTCAATGCCTTTTTTGTGTTGCTGTGTCAAACGTTGGACAAGTATTCATTACTGATACAGCAAAACAATGTGTTCATGTTTTTGAGTGAACAACTGTTTTAGCCATTTCGATTATTATAAGGAGTCTCGAGATAGTTTTGTCTCAGATTTTTGGGTGTTTCAGTAACATTTTTTACGCTGTTTACAGAAAACAACTTAACATAAGATGGCTTCAACGATACAGAAAAAAAATACAAATAAAAATTCACCAGAAGAAACAATATTTAGTTGTGTACAGTGACCAAAGTAGCCAATGAGCTTTCGAGTTGGTCACTGTCATGCAGATATAAGTTGGCGTTGGCCGCATGTTAAGCCATTCAAACAAAAGCTCGGCTGTAGGAAACAATGTAGGAAGAAACAGCTCTTCATTAGCTATGATTTCAAAATGTTTAATATTAACGAACTCCTCAAAGGTACAGTCAAATATCATCCAGCAGGAGATCCAGTCCCTTAGTTATCTTCGTCGACGGTCAGGTACAAATAGGTCGTTTTCACGTGACGTCATCACTTCCTAAAATCCGAAACCAAAACAGCTACCAAAGTTTTATCCTCATCAGGCATAAGAGGCGGTACATTTATATCTGTTTAATATTTTACAGCTCAATAGCGTGCTTCCTCTGGAAACCAGAGCATTTTGAATTTCAGGGTTATGGAGGTGCGAGACACAAGGCTACGATCGAGATTGTTGAAAAATATATACTTATCTCATGATTTTGAGCCTTTTTAGAAGTTAGAGCATTAGGAAAAGCGCTTATGTAAATGTTTGTTTGTTCAGTACTGATAATCAGTCGCCTAGACAGCCAAAGTAAGAGGGTCCCCAATAGGCTTGACGGGATGCGGGATTTGGCTTTTTTTCGCCGTGATATTTGGGATTTGAGCTGAAAACAGGGACGGGAAGCGGAAATTACAAATACGAGCGGAAGCGGGATTTCGTGTTTTTATGGGGTTGGGATGTGAGATTCGCAAGGGGAACAGAGCGGGATACGGGATTTCAATTCTTCCGTGACCTCATAAATTGACCAGCGCAAAAACCACAAGCTGGCAGAAACCAGGGCAGAAACGAACCTTTTGTGCCTATAGCTGTGTCAGGTTTCAAGTAATGAATATAGCAACGGCTCTGTACCCTGTCAGGTCAGGTTCTGTCATACGTATCCATTATCGCTTGACTATGTTAGTATCATTAAACTGTAGCGACATTTTCGACGCTTGTGTCTGTTATCCTGAGCCCCCTATCCTTTCTAGTTTTTTAGCTAGTTTCGACCTTTTCCAGAGCGCATGGCTTGTTTTGGCCAGTATGGCCACACCGGATGGCGGTGATAGTGATTTACCGAACGACATCAACAATTGCATAGTCATATGTTTCGAAAAGGATGTGCGAGCGGGAGTGCCTTCATGCGGAAAGAAAAGTACTGAGCCCAGATTTCAAGTAAAGTGAAGACGCTGAAAGCTTTGAAAGAAACTGACAGGTGTGTTTACGGGCGATCTCTTGAATATGGGAATGAACAATCTTTTTCTTTCACCGATACGTGGACAAAAGAAAGCAAAACAGTGAACTGTTTAAAAGAAACGTTATTATCATTTGTGCTTACTTATCTGCTATCCATTGAATCCTTTTGTGTGATATCTATTTTTGAAAAGTTTCTGTGATAATTATTAATTTAACAAATTAATAATTAACGTAGAAACGTCTTTGAAATGTGGGCGGGATCGGGATTTCCAGGCAACAAAGGGTGGGATGGCGGGATTAACAGGAAAAAATGAGCGGGAAGGCGGGATCTGAGAACCCTACTACCCTAAGTTCCAGATGTTTACACTATTTTCCGGCCGCCATGGCGTCTTCATACTGAGCTCTGTAAGTTTCTGCGAAACATTTCGACTAATATCTGAAGTTTGAGGAAACGCATAGGCCTAAAACCTGGAGAAGTGTCTTATTTAGTTATCTTCTATAACATCACCATCATCTTAGCTTTTTCCACTAGATGGTTTTTGATTTATTTTTTCTATAGAAAGCAAAAATGTCTGATGGTAAGTCACCATTTACCATTTGCTCAAAGAACCCAGTTTACACGAGTTCGACTTGATCATAATTCCAAGACGGCGGTGAAGAATTGCAAATAGTAACCACATTTTCCACTCGGATATTTCGGTTGGGAATTTTGGCCTACCTTTCAAGACGTTTCGTTTATATATTTCGAACGTTTTCCGTTGATCGAGCCAAAATTGTCTTACCATTTACATTCTCACCGAAATTTCCGGAATTTTACGGCAAATGGTAAACAGCCTACAACGGGAGCGTCCTGCGACAAATGGGTTTTCTCCTGCGCGGTGACACTTCAACGTAAGGTAAAATGTCAAGGCAGCTAGCTATTGTTTGACACACTCTTATTGATAACGTAGTCACGAACAATTTTAACAATGTAGGTATTAAAAGATTTCTCAAAAAGAAAAAAAAACGACATAAGCCCAAAAGGGTGCATGATTTTTTAAATCTAATTGAGTAACTTTTTGAGATCAGTTGTTGTATCGTAGAGGGCTCACGGTGTTTTCAAACTGTTCAACTGCTACCCAGGTCTATGATAATCATGCTCAGGGGAAGTTAAGAAAACTCGCCATAAAAGTAAGTGCACTTTAACTAAGAGTATACTCTGATTATGCTATTAAAGCATTTGAAAGTTTCATAAGATAAACCGCGTCATTCTGTTTATAAGTTTTCAGTAACGCACCGTTGTCAGTTGAGACATTTGTAACTCGGCTCTCAGTCTAGTTTCATTTATTAATCAGATGATTCTATTAACAAATGCGATTGGTCTAAACGCGCCACGTGTCTGAATATTCCCCAACTAACACTGGGGAATATCCTAGTGATATCTCCCTATTTTCGAAACTGCGCGTGTTGCAAAACAATATTTGAAGGGTAATAAACACAATGGCCCCCATTTGGAGCGAAAATAGGCTCGGATATTAGTCCTTAGACATTATCTGTTCCAAAAAGCTCACAGTTTTCCTCCAGCTAAGCTCTCGGAAAACTGGTCGCTTCTCGGAACTTTCCGCGGACAAATATACGAGGATATTTCCTCGCCAAATGATTCAGAAGGCTTTTGTTTATAGAGCACTTCAGCGCCTATAAACAAAGCGCGCTTTTCAATCCACCGCCTAAGGAGGCTACAAAGCAGTCAGATACACTGGAGTTTAGACCCCCTTCCCAGACCTTCAATTACCTGGCGTGGTTTTCTTCTGGTACAAATATTGCCTAGTGCAGTTTCTAAAAAAGGAAACAGAACAAAAAACGCCATTGAGTTAGTGAGTCGCCAAGTATCATGGTTAATTTTTTTAGAATTGAATTGGCCTTTGGTCACTTGAAAACAACATGATATCTGCGCACGTGACAACTCACGTGACATTTTTTACGGCTGCCTTCGCTCAAACAGCAACTTGGGTGTAGCTTGCGCTATGGAGACGCCATGCTGGTGCCCATCCGTATGGGCACTAACATGGCGTCCGGAAACCAACAGAAACATCTGTCACTGAGTTTTGCTACAAAAGCGTGAATTTATTCCTCGAGGAACTCTAAAACATTAAAATAATACTTTTTCTAAGACATTAGCTGTTCAGATAGCCAAGTTCCCCGAAATAGGTCACTTTTTTAACCATCATGACAGCTCTCTAGACCGTCATGTAAATGCCGCGTAACGCAAAAGCTTAGAAATTNTCAGCTGCTCTTATACATCATTTAAGTAAAATCTCAGGAAGATCAATAGTTTTGTAGTTCGAAATTTGGTGACGTCATGTGAAAACCAGCTATAGGTGTTGACCACTTCCATTTCTAGTGGGTACATCACCGACCCTTAACCCATAGGGTTATTTTGGAGTTATGAGTTACATAAGGCAATTTTGATAATTTTATATGGTTATTTTTTATATAAGGTCGTTTGCCCACATGCTGATATTGATCCGATATGTTTCCCCTATCGTTTTCAAGCCAATAAATGTCCACAATAGTTTTAATCACTAACAATTGCACACAGAGCATAGAAACAACAATGATCAGCCACCCCGCTGCCTCCCCCAACGGGGGATACACGTAATCCTAATACGTGATTTTAGTGCACTTGATTAAGGTGAACATAAAGATACCCTACAGGATAAGAAAAACATACCGTGAAATTCCCTCCTACGGGAGAAAAAGAGAAATAGCATAGAATTCCTATATAACAAGCCCCTCGGACTCGAAAATAAGCTACACCCCGCCTACTTCCAATGTTTGGAGCGAAATCCTCCCAACAATAAGCACCTTGAATGTAATCCTTTGTATTTATTTAGATTTTATAGCCCTTACATTAATCGCGTTGACAAAAGATTGTAACCTCTTCAGATACAAGGCCTTTATTGTACAGCTTGTTTTCGAATTTTGTGTCTGAGTATGCTCAGAGAACTGTAGTGTTCAGTTAATGACTTATAGTAAGAAAGTGCTGAACCATTCTTGCATGCACCTAAATGGTTTTAAGTAACACATCCCTTCCAAAGAGACCATCTTCACGTTCCAAAGATAAATCCAAAGCTTATCATTAGCACTTTCGAAGAGAACAAGATATTGACAAGTAAGAGGACACATCGTTTATCTTATTCATTTTATAGCGCTGCACAACATAAGTCGTTCTTTGTCGTTCTTTGGATCAAACTCATCTCGGACACACTCGGAGAGTTTCCGATTTTCATTACCCAATCAAAAGCAAGCTCGAGCTGTAACGAGCACTCCGAACATTATTGTCACGCTCACATAACTTAGCAACGTTAGCAATAAAACCATCGAAATCAGCCAACTGGTGCTTGTCCCCAAGCCTCCATCGCATACGCTCGTTTGGCTCCAATCACACAATCTATCCTTCCCTAGGCAGGCGTTCGTTGGAGAAGCACGTGACAAACCCAAAGACCGTCTGCGCAAAAGACTTGCTGACTTTATAGCCTGAAATGTCAGTCATGTCAAGCCTTAATGTCCGGGGATTAGGATGAGGGAACCCATTATTTTGGCTGAGGCGTGAAGCCCTAAAAGTCGAAAGGATTGTTAAAAAAAAAAAACAAACAACATGCAGGTAAAAAAATAACCTAGAAAAATTTTAAGCAATTAAAAGTTATTTAAATGGATTCAAGTACTGGCCAAGGTAACAGCTTGGAGTTGTT